ACCCCCCCCCCCCCCCCCCCCCCCCCCCGTACTTTATGTTAACATTTTCCGGGGCCTCTTGGTGTAGTCTTTCCGCCGGCCGGAGCGATGAAACGATGCCGACCGGCTGCTTTCACCGCACGATGTTGCATTTCCCCCTTCTACACGTACGTTTGTTGTTTTGATTTCCAGGTTCCCGTTGTTGTATTCCAACCGCCGAACGATTCGGCCCGGCTTTGTATTTTCACCGCATGGTGTTGCGTCCCCCCCCCCTCCCTACCTTATTTTTTGCATCTACCGGTGCCCCTTGTTGACAAGAGGCATTTCATCGTCACCGTCTTGTAATCTCACTGCCGGACGGAACAATGCCGGCAGGCTTTGTGTTTTCACCGCACTCATGTTGCGTTCCCCCCGCCTTTCCTGCTTTTTGTTTCAGTTCCCGGTGCCCCGTCTTGTAATCTCACCGCCGAACGGAAAGATGTCGATAGGTTTTGTACAATGGTGCGTTCCGCTCCCCGTACCATGTTGTGTGTCTATTTGTCGGTGCCCCTCCTCTCCCCCCTCATACCCTATTTTTTCATTTCCCGGTGCTCCCTTGTTTGTCGACAGGCTTTGGATGTTCACCGCATGATATTTGGCTCCCCCTCCCTCCCCCCCCATAACCTATTTTTTTGCATTTCCCGGTGCCCCCTTGTTTGTCGACAGGCTTTGTATCTGGCAGCGGAGATGGAGAACGTCCGATCTATAGCTAAGAAGGACGCGGAGAGCGCCAGACTGTACGCCGTGCAGAAGTTCGCGAAGCAGGTACGCTGCACGCATGAATGAATGCATGCACGCGTGCGTGCGCTGTTAATAGGGCAGAGAGTTCCGATCGCGTTGGCGCGTTGTACGCCGTACAGGAGGAGGTTTCGAAGCCGGTGTATGGGTGGGTAGGATGCCCCAGGGAGATGAACCCTTTTGTGTGACCACGGGTTGGGGTAAACGGCACAACAAGTGCTACATAGGAGCGCTGTTTTGAAGAAACACACAAACAACAAAAAAGAGGGAAGTACTGCTGTTCTTCGGATGCGTGCATGCGCTGATTTGAAGTGAAGAACAAAAAAAAAAAAAAAATGCGCTACGGCAGAGACTTGCTATCGCCGTAGAAGCCACGCCACACACACGGCTCCACATTGTGGGGTTTTCCGGAATTTACCCGCCTGGTGATGCAGAGGGGGTCCCTGTGTAGTGCCGGTAGTCATGTGCCCAGAAAATTCATCGGCGCTATACCGGACCGGCACGATTCAAAACATTTGAGAATGGTTTGGAAATCGATTGTGTGCCCGCCGAAAACACCAGCACTGCTGGATACCGGCACCGGCACAAAACAGGGACCCCCTCTGTAGTTGTTGGTGCTGCATGCGCGAGGGGAGAGTTCGGATTATAGTGTGGGGCGCAGACACGCCACATACACAGCTCGTGCTCGGTTTTGCCGGGGATTCCCGGCCTGGTGGCATTTCTTGGTGCTCACGCTCTCTTGTCTTGTCTCGTCGATCACGACCATCGATGGTTGTGTATTTGTCATGGTACTGCACGCAGCTGGGTTAGGTAGCAGACAACCTTACAGCAGCTTTTGTTGTTGTTTTTTTTTTTCTCCTTGTCCTCGATCTACAAACCATCGATAATGTGGTGTGTCGTTGCTTGGCTTGTGCTCTCCGGGTATGTACTGTACGCAGCTGCTGGACGTGGCAGAAAACCTTGCAGCAGCAGCAGCAGCAGCAGCAGCAGCTGTTGTTGTTGTTGCTCTTCATCCTCGCGAACACAAACCATCGATGGTGTTGGTCTGCATGTGTTCACAGCTGCTGGACGAGGCAGACAACTATTGTCCGTTTTAATTCCTCTTTGTCCTCGATTACAAACCGTCGATGACATGGTTTTTCCCTGGTGTCGTTTGGGGTATCATGCAGCTGCTGGACGTGGTCGACAACTATTATCCCTGTTTTTTTCTATTGTGTCTCGATCACACCAACCGTCGGTGACCTGGTTTTGCATCGTGTCGTTTGGGGTATCATGCAGCTGCTGGACGTGGTCGACAACTATTGTCCCTGCTTTTTGCTCTTGTCTCTCGATCACACCAACCATCGGTGACCTGGTTTTGCATCGTGTCGTTTGGTGTCTCATGCAGCTGCTGGACGTGGCAGACAACCTGGAGAGGGCGATCGCTTCCGCCAAGGAGGCCGAGGGGGAAGGCGGGGGTGACTCTTCGCACGACGTGCTCCTCCAAGGAGTGGAGATGACAAGCAACGAGGCGAGCGATACATATGTGTCGGATTTAAGTGTGGCATAGAATAGCCTATATATGTATTTTATTTTGTACAACGAGGCGAGCGATACATATGTGTAGGATTTAGTGTAATATAGTATAGCCTGTGTATTTTATTGTGTACTTCAGAACATATATAGGAGCTGTACAATATTTTATACTTCAGTACGTTGGAGTTATACATTTTTTTTTACTTGAGTGTATAGGAGCTATTATGGCTGTAAGTAAACTATACACCTCTCAGGGACCTTCTTAACAGCAGCTATTATCAAAAAATATATATATATTTTCAAGCCCGTAGACGGTAGAACCTCGATTTTGCTGCCGAGGATATTTGTTTTGGAAATTCGGAAATTTGGAAACTTCTGGCACCGAAGAAATTGGAACGAACTGCTTCCGACATTTTGGAAATCTGCGAAGTTTTCGAAGTTTGGAAATTCAGATTTTTTTGGGAACGCAACGGCTGTGTTTAACACGGTCTTTGCCGCCGGGAGCGGGAAATACGTTCCCGTGAGGCATTCATCGGTGGTGGTGATTTCGATGTTCGTGGAGAAAATCATGCCGCGTTCTTATGTGGAATACTTGGCCGTCTGGCTGCTTCAACTCTGGTATTCCAACCACAATAATAACAACCGTGTTGCAAAAAGAAATGGGTTCCCGGAGCGGGAGGTGGTGATTTCGGTGTCCGTGTAGCAAAAATCATGCCGTATTTTTGATGTGGAATACTAGGCCGTCTGATTGCTTCAACTGTGATATTTCAATTAAATTTATGGTGTTTTTTTTATTATTTTTTGTTTTCGTCTTCACTTCAAATCAGTTTATGGTAATGCCTCCTCAAAAACCAACGTAAACCGTGTTGCAATGATGATCCGCGGCCAAGGGTTAGAGAAGAACGGAGATGTGAGGGAAGAGTTGGAGCATGCGAATTATGGTTATCCCTCCACATCAACATTAACCTGACCAAACCGTGTTGCAATGACGATCGTCTCCGATGTCGAAGGTATTTGAGAGCGTACCATAAATTCTAAATCGTGGTGCCAGCGTCTCTACTGAGACACACCGACCAGTGCTGACCAACCAAACCGTGTTGTATTGAACGATCGTATTGTATGCATAACAGAATCCTAAATCGTGGTGCCAGCGTCTCTACTGAGACACACCGACCAGTGCTGCCTAACCAAACCGTGTTGTATTGAACGATCGTATGCATAACAGAATCCTAAATCGTGGTGCCAGCGTCTCTACTGAGACACACCGACCAGTGCTGACCAAACAAACCGTGTTGTAATGAACGATCGTATGCATTACAGCTGACGAAGGTGTTCCGAAGCCAGGGGCTAGAGAAGTACGGGGAGGTGAAGGACAAGTTCGACCCTCATCTCCACGACGCCATGTTCGAGTTCGTTAACCCTGCACAAGAGCCCGGAACTCTGGGTCAGGTAAGATCTCTGATAGTGGGGGGGGGGGGGGGGGGAAAATGAAGACAAAGGGTTGGCAAAAACAAAAACCCAGGAAAATTTCCCTCTAGGGCTTGGGGCCCTGGGTTAACTTATGTTGGGTGGGGGAAAGTGCAGCTGAATCTGGGGGGACCCCCAACTCTCTGAAAAGGGGGGGGGGGGGGGGGGGTGGAAAAAGAAAGGCAAAAATTTTGGGAAAAAAAAAAACCCAAAAAATTTTGGGCCCCTTCGGGGCCCCAATAAACCACCGTGTTGGAAAGGGGGCCGTTTTAATATTGCCCCTATAAAAAAATAATGTTGTGGGCTTTTTCCCCCCCCCGGGGGCCGGGGGGCGGGGGGGGGGGGGGGTAAACAAATAAA